CAATAAGGTTAGGAACAAGTTCGTTGCTAAAATAATTTAAATTAAAGCAAGCGCAGGAAATAATTTTTGGCTAAGTTCTTATTCGGCCTATGCTTTGCAGTGGTTGCGTGTAGAACAGTGGTTGGAGGTGCCCTGTGATACAAATGAGTTCGATCCCACGCGTCAGGCTCACCAAGCCTCCCATCTCTCCAGGGTCGGCAAATTGGTACAAGACCTGTCTGGGGGCATAGCAGCACTGACTCGATACTTCGGTCAGCCACCAGGAGTAGTTTTATACGGCAAACATACATCCTGTAACTTCTAATGATGCTTGACGATGTCGAATGCATGGTGCATCTTGGAGGGATTGATCAACGTCGAGAACTTTAGCCTTTTATCCTTTATATTTTTTAGTGCTTAAAGGTGCTCTGCAGTGCCCAACGTGATTATTCGTTCGATCCCAAGCCCCAGACATACAGTGCATTCCTTCTATGCGGGTTAATTAAAGCGGTGCAATGTCTGAGAGGATAAAAACTTTGACTTGGTGCATCGGTAGGTCACTCACTGTGCGCTGGTCTACAGGCCGAAAGCATTCAATTTAACATGCACTCTGCGAATGGAGACGAACGCGCGGCATATCCCTATGAGATTGATAATCGCTGAATGGGTCTAAAAGCTATATTAGCACCAATTTCGAAGTGTATGCGGATCGTGGAAAACAGCTTGAGATTTCTCGCTTTCGGTGATTTTTTGCTCGACACAGTGTACCATCTGTAATCACGTTCTTAGTTATCGAATGAAATGAACGACCACCAACAAAGTTTCTATTTGTTCTCGTCGGTCATCATTGCTGCCCGTTTCTTTTGGTGAAGAAAACCATCGATGGTTGGCAAGGCTACGAGGGGCCGGAAATGTCGGACTATTCCTTAAGTTTCTTAGTGGCTGTTGGAAGTGAACTACCACTGCAGCATAGTAATTTATCACCTAAGTAGATCTCTAGACTTCCATCCCAACGAAAAGGCAATGATAAGTTATTGCAGGAGTGACAATTGCAGGAAATCAAAGGAGAATAGAGACCCAGCCTTCCGTTTAAAAAAACTCTCGGGGAATGTGGATAAAATTCCTGGATGAATTAATTCAAACTAGTACAATAGGGATCACTAAAGTATCAGGAAAGTCCACCGTTAGTTATCACTTGGATACGTGGAAGCCGAGTTATCACGAGTAGTGCGAGCCGCAGCAGATTTGTTTCTGTGCCTTATGGTGGTGGTTTGTCCTTACCATGGTGACGTGTGGAATATCACATGTGATCTGTAAAGCTTTTGCAGCTGGGAATACAGTTGATTGATTTCAGTTACTAATGCGACCGCCCATTATGCAGGTCGCCGTCCCAGGAGACGCTTCCAGCCTCGTGTCCACTCTACAATTCTTTCCACCCATCTTTCATCTTATTTACATTTTATCTGCTGCCTACTCTTTCCCATGTCAAGGTTTTCTTTCAAATACAACCACTAGGATACTGTGATGTGAGCAAAGCTCCAAACCTCAGTTGAGCCTCGAACTCGCGGTAACCTTTTCCGTGGAGTCACGTGTTATCCACCACATGAGCCTTTGCTTTCTCTCAACCAGGTTTTTTTTACTCTAAAGGTGGTATGAGAACGTGATCCACCGAAAGGGTAATCGTGCGTTGGAAGCCCAGATTATGTTCCAGGTTTTGCTCATATATCAGCATCTTTGTGGTTCCATTTTACAACCTTCATCTGTTCTTCTTATTTTGTGATTCTTCTATCCACTTCTTGCTATCGTTATTTAACCTCCTGGATCTAGAAGATCAGATAGGTTTCAAAGATCTGAACTACTCATTCCCAGTAGGCGTCATTTGACGGCTATATTCAGGACACATCTTTTAAGTGGTTTTTGGTCAAAAGTTGATTTTTAAATGAGTCATATTTTAAAACCACCAGCTCACCAATGCCTTTGAAACCTAACGGTTTGGCGGTGGAGAGTGATCTGTCATCTCAGCAGCCATTGTGGCTAGTATAGGCAACACCTCACTGCATCACGATATGTTTCAACTCCATTTGTAACATCGTTAGATGCGATTCTGCGTTGTACAATAACTTCAACTGGCCTACCGTTGTATCAAGTCAACCATTCAGCGCTGCCTTCCTTCCAAATAAGTCTCGTTCCAATTTTTCCACTCCGGACGACATGGTGAGTCACGGGTGCATGATCAAACCATGGACCGACCTTTATTGCTAGGTATCTCTAGCTATTGCATTATACACGATCACACATGAGAGTAAACGTTACACAGAGTAATTTTTCTTGGATTTAACGCTTTTCTCCTTGTTTATTATTGGCGCTCTTTTGAATTTGGAAATATGGAGGAGAAAAAGCGAATGACTTTAGATTTATGAAGAAATTAAACAGTCCAGCAGTTGCTGATCATATAATTATCGCAAATATTCACAAATGTCTATCTTTCCATTAATTCCTGGTTGAAATCCGACAAGGAAAGAAGAAAGAAAAACCTCGTTTTTTCCTTTTCGAATCCGCTTTCGTTATTTGAGGCCAGGGCCTATAAAAAGAAAATGATTAAAAACGGTTAACAAAAACTTTTTTAACTAAAACAAGTTTTTTTCATGTTCTATTCTTTAAAAAGGACCGCGTGTGGTGCAGTGGTCGGAGGCGCCATGAAGCGCGCACAAGGGATGGCTCCCCGCGCCCTTGGCGCACCAAAACCTTCCATCCCTCTGGGGTCAGCGAATTGGTACCAGACTTATCTGTGATAATGGCAGCATTGGCTTGATACATCGATAGGCCACCACGAGTCATTGTAAAGGCCGGATATGCATTCAATCACCTCCAACGATGCTTAATGTAGTCGAATGCATGGTGCATCCCTCAGGGATTGGTCAACGCCGAGAGCTTTATCCTTTTTAAAGCTATGGGATCCTTGTTATCATTTTCATTGACTTGTTTATTCAATTTCCATTGCAATGGTGAGAATCGGTAGAGGAAAATAATCAAAAGAGTATATTATTTAAAAAAGCTAAATGCGATCACGAATACACTTTCTGTTGGAAGCCCAAAGAAAGAAACATTGGAAGTGGACAATTTGCTGTAAGAAAATCTAAAAGTCAGAAAGAAAGAATTTCAGAAAGAAGAGTGAAAAAGTAATATTATGGACGGCATAGGTGCTTCGTAGAGATTTCTCTCCACTTCACTGTTTTCTTCAAGAGCAGGCGCAAGGTTTTTAACGATGACATTTATTCACTACAAAACTGGCTGACCTTTCTGTGGTTCCACCTACTTCAGAGCGTGGAAGTGTCTAACTAACACGCAGTTTATTCAGTCAAGCATTCTCAAAACCTTAGCATAAAAACTTAATGCATAAGTTCAGTCGCAAAATAAACGACTTGTTTTGACTGTTTTGTTTTCTTTAAGTGATCCAGTTATTTGATGGTGACCAGCTGCATAGAGTCATACATGGCCAAGGATTGTGTTTTCCTGAGGTAAAAAAGTTATTCTGAGGTACAGCACGAAAGGTCACCGAATAAATGCCTGAAAAAGTCTTTTTTATCTAAGCTACTGGTGATGGAAATTCTTACGGAATATTCGTAGCCTCCATAAACGCAACTTTTTATTGATAACACCATATAGCACAAAGACACAATGGAGAATATCTTGAATCAATGCTCACTTTGGTCGCGCAACAGTATAAAACACCAGGGCGAAGCTTTTGGAGCGTTTTGGACGAATTTCAAGAACCCAGAAATGAAACTTGGAGAGGAGGACCCTGTGATCACGCGTGATCCCGAGCCATACCTTAGGTTGGTTTTTTCTGAGCAAGCCAAGCACATTCCTTACTAATGTAGGCTCTGTGTGGGCGATCTCTATAGAACAACTGGAAGACTTGCGAAGAACAAGACGGTGATTGTTTACGAGAAGCTATTTACTAAAGAAATAAAAAACTTATGCATCAAGCTTTATCATTTAGGGTATGAAAGTATTTGGCTAAATAATTGCGTTCGATATGACTCTTCTAGGCTTTGAAGAAGGTGAAATCCGCCGGAACGTCAGTTTTTTTTGCAAATGAAGAACGAGGTAACAGCATCGTATTTGCTCACCAACTAAACAGCGAAGTATTTGATCACTGCCAAGGTTAATAGAAAGTCGATCATGAGAATTGCTTTTCTCAATTTGCTCCTTCTCGAACAATAGTAGTTTCTTTTATATAGAAACTTCTTTGATTTGAGCAAGTACTGAGAAATGTAGAAATATATCATAAAGATAAAGACACTTACTTGGTTACTTGGATGGCACTTCTTCACTCGTTGTGCGGACCCCACTATAATTTCCATTCTCTGGAGACTTGCTGGTTTGTGGTATCCTGGAGCCTTGAGGGCAGCTTAGCCGAAGCCGTCCTCAGATCGCCGCCACCCCATGCAGTCGCCGTCATTGTCGATCAGAGGGAGATTTACCACCATGCAACTTGTTTGATACCAGGACTGTGGTGATTTCTGGTACTGGTTTACTCTTAGCTGGGCTTCTTGATGGAGAAGCCGGATTCCTTCTCGGCTTGGGAGATTCTGCCGGGGAGACGAATTCCCTCGCTGTACATCGTGTCTAGACACCCAGAACACTTCCTAGCCACAATATGGTGGTAAACTGCTGAGAGGAAAATAAAGACAATAATTGATAATGAGGAAATTTGAGTATTAGCATGCTAGATGTTTTTTTTTCTGCGAAAATCTTAGAGTGGAACCATCATTTTCTCGTTAGAAAACTGTGCCTTTTTACTTCTGTTCATTCCTTTTTCTTTTGATATAAAGGGAATTCCTTGTTAGCTAGAAATAAGGGAGAACTAGAAATTTTGTACACATTGTTGGTAATGGATCAGTCTTTGTAAACTTTTTACCATGATGTCATAGTGAAAGCAACAACTTCATTTGTCAACTCTGTTCTTTTTTAACACTTCTTCTTTCTCTTGAAGAAAACTTTGTTCAGTGCCTGAGATGGAGTTGAAGCCAATGGTCTGTTTGGTATGTGGCCGAGCATCGAATACCGGACATCACTACGGAGTGACTGCATGTCTCGGATGCAAGACGTTTTTCCGACGGGTGTGGTATCGTTTTTGCATATTAAAATGTCGAAAATCGGGTGGTTCAGCACATGATGCGTCTCAGCGTCAACCAATGTACACGGACCGTTATTGGCTGATTCTTCGTTATGCCAAACGAACAACAGAAAGACCAGTGACACGATGGTCAGAGTTCGTTGTGATAATCCTAGTAGAAGGATATAATGCTGAGCGAATCCCTAAAGCGTGCAGTGCGCTAGTCTCAAACGAGGCAAGGAAAAATGGAAGGCAAACTGGCGACCGCTCGAGTTACTAGGCAATCATCGGTCCACAGGTGATACGGTATCACTAATGAAGATCGTCTCCGTCGTCACACTAATCACCATCAACCTCCACCCCAAGCCGCCATCTTTGTATGTTTATTAATTTTTTCTCAATCGATTAATGATTGGAGATATTTTAGGTGGTGCTGCAAGGAGCTCAACCAAAATGTAAATTTCAAAACAAATGTTTACTGGTTAAAGGTAGACCTTTACGTCTAGAGGATGTTATACATAGTTAAAAATTATTCAGCACGTTTTTAGGTGCTCATGCGAAGCGAATTTGTCGCAGTTGTCGATTTACAAAGTGCAAAGAGATCGGCATGAACAAACAAGGTGAACTGCGTAATATTCATAGTTTTCGCTTCACTAACTTGTTCCTTATCAACTTGATAACAGTCCCATTCACCAAATAGCTGTAAATATCACAGTGTGAAGGGGCGATTGTTAGCAGATCATGGGTTAGGTTTACAATAGAAGAAGTCGTATTGCCTTGAGCTACTAGGCTGGTAGGCCGATACGAAATTTATTCATGGCAACATGAGCTTATGCTTTGAGTTTTGAAGACTCTAGAAAATATTTAGGATTTTGATTGATTCAAAGCTTTTTCCAGGGTATTTTGAGACTCTGTAACTTACTCTATCAGCTAACATTTATTCAAGGGTTCTATAAAGGAGAAAAGGATAAAGCTTTCGGCGTTGATCAATTCACGAGGGATGCGCTGTGCATTCGACTTTATTAAGCATCGTTTGCAGTCCATTGAATGAATATCGGACCTTTATAATCACTCGCGTGGGTCTGCCGATGTATGGAACTGGTGTGCTGCTATTCTCCCAGACAATTCTTGCATGGCTCCTCCGAGCACCGCACCACACGAGCCCTTTCAAGTGTTCTAGAGTAAAAAAAATTCTTCATTTTCCCTTCTTTTTTAGTACGGAAATGTCCTTTCTTTCATAAAACAAGGGATCGTCTTAAAATGGAGAGTTCAAATTTTGGCTTGACATTCTCGTTACTGCTTGCTGCTGGTTTTAACATTAATTGATGTTCTGCTGTTTATCGCTAGAAGAAAAAGAAGAGGAAATGAAACTTACTCCCAACCCATCTGAAATTTTTCAGATAGCGTTTTTCCTACTTAATTTTTTGAAAAAATCTGCACGTGAAGTTCAGGGCTTTTTTTTTGATTTCGTTGGAGGATAGTAGCATCGTTCTGGTTCTTACTTATTACCTATTCTTCTTTATTATTTGAATAGAGCAGAGTGTTACTTTAAACACAACCACAAGGATGTTGAGAATCTCAAATCTCACATAGGCTTGGAGCCTACGATTACTACTACCGGGGGCTTCCTCACTGCTCTCAGTATTCTTGTGGCAGCAGCACAGCTTCATGTAGACGCCTTGTCTAACTGATCATGAATGATTTAGAAAATTTCCTTGTCTTTCTCTAGAATTGTCCAGAGTAAAATTCAAAGGATGCCAAGAGGTATCAACCGAGAAAACAACAGAAACATTTTTAACAAAAATTCTTTTTATGAATGTACTTTACTTTTCTATGGAAAACCTCATTGAATTGTCGAATCCGAAGTTATTGAGTGTGATTCGAGTCTCCTACGTGTCGATTCTTCAACTAAAAACAATCTAATAAAGCTGTTTTTATAGAGACCAAATAGAGAAACAATGAAGTCGACTTAGTTTTCTGAAGATGCTTTTTATGGAGTTATCTTCACATTAAGAGACCATTTTAGCTCTACATCCATGTCGTGATCTCATCGGTAGACGTCAAACATCACAATCTGATTCGATCTCACCATCTGACAGCCCGTCGTCGTCGTCATCATCTGGGGTAAGCAAAGAAGTTAGAATTTAGGATGGTTTAGAGCTATCCTTTAATGAAAAAGGCTGATGACCAGTACGTTTGATAACAATACGATTAAAGATATCTGGGAACTTGCAAAGTTTGCTAGCAGCTGGATTTTAGTTTTATATTATTTCCAGTTACGTTGTTGAGTACTGTTAGGTAGAAGCTGAGCGTCCTTTGAACCGTTTGTCAATGTATCATTGCTCTTAGAATGATGAAAAAATTGGCACCAAAATCTTGTTATCTTGTTTTTGCCACTTTGGACGAGTTACACCGTCTCTATTTTGGTATTTGTTCACGCATCAAGGCTATTAACGTTGAAGTTTATGTGAGCATTGCCGCTTTTGTTTCGATCCACGATATTAGTGTCATCTCATCCGAGATGTATGGTTGATAGATTTTCAATAGAATCCGAAAATTTTAATTAGTTTTAGATTACGTTTGGGTTCTGTAGATTCACGTTTGGTTTAGGTGGCGATCCTCATAAAATTCGAGATAAGTGCTAATTAACCTAATAGTGAACGGTCTGATCACATGACTTTTACAGCTCTCGGTTGGTCAGGTTTGAACCTCAAATATATTTTATTGAAGAACCAGGCTCGAATTAGTTGCCATTTGGCCTCGATTTTTCAAAAACCAGTGAAGTATAATGGCTACGATTTTAGGGCAAATTGCCTCCGGCATCAGAAGAAGCTCTGTGTTTTCTCTACGGATTACGTGACATGGATGCTCAGGTTAGAAGGAACTATGCAGCTCGACGTGGTCATTGTGTTGTAGGCCCCGACCAAGACAGATTTTTCTATAATCCGGTATGTTCTTCGGTTTGGTTTATTTTTCTAAAGGAAACTTTAATAAATGAACTCGTCAAGTTTTTCTTATCAAACTGATTTCTGTGGAGGTTTACGTGTTTGAGTACGTATGAATTATGGTAAACACTCGCCATCAGATGTTCGTTTTTGCAGATTTGCGATTTTTCGGGCGTGGCTCCAAACGACGATCTGTCGCAGTCGATTCGTGGGGATATAGCGATCGCTGCCGAGTGGGCCGAACAAGTGCCGTCGTTCCATTTGCTGTCGCCAGCACTCAGGGCAAGTTTCTTGTGAATATGTTGGCCAATGAGCACCATAAGCAAAAGTGAGCTTCTGCTTCCGCGAGAGAAATATAGGAATATTTCTCTCCTTTTTAACAAGTTCAAGACAACACGCACTGACATAAATGCGCTTTTTTAAACCGATATATCAGAGCTCATGATGAACTTTATTAGCTGATCTAAAGGTCTTTAGAGTCGTCAAATCTTTGTGGCTAGTTCGTTAACTCTGGAAAGCTGAATCCCATTTTCCGGAACCTTTTGGAAATTCCAGAGGTTTCAAAAAAGTTGTATTTGATCCTACGATAGAGAGCAGTTCCTTACAGAAGTTCTTTCACTACAGTGATTCTGCGATATTAGCAAAAGTCCGAGCCGTGGTCAGATCGAACCACGACTACCCTTCCTCGCGCATTACACGCTGCGCCAAGGAGATCTGTGATCTGCGTTCCTTTCAGTTTTATTTCTACCTGACGCTGCCATCAGCAATCATCTGTCAACGGGATTGATCTGGGGATCACAAATCAGCATTAAGTGGAGCAGCGTGTAATGAGAGAGTCCCCGGAAAGCGAACTCCTAGCTCGATCTAGCCACCGTGGTCCAAGTTTTGCGAATATCTCAGTATCGTTGTGGTTGTAATTCACATCATACCCTGACGTAAAAAATTATGGTAGGCAGAAAATAAAAGGCTAATATTTCGACTGCAGCCTCAGCTTAACTGGGTTCAATGCCGATTTGTGCTCACCAGATCAATCCCGTTCATGGGTGACAGCGTTATGTAGAGAAACTAGCTGAGAGAAACACAGAGCAAAGGCCTTGGTGGCGCAGTGTATAATGCGCGAGTCCCCGGAAGAGAAAATCTTGGCTCGATCTGGCCAGGGGTCCAAGTTTTGAGAATATCTCAGCATCGTTGTGGTTGTAGTTCGCATCATAACCTGACGTGAAAAATTATAGTATGCGAAAAACAAAAGGCTAACATTGTGAGTTTTTTGACGTTCTGAAGTGTTGCCGTTATCGAGAAACCAAAAAGCATTAAATGACTTAATGAAAGCATTAAAGCTGGAATGACTTAATGAGCTTCCACACACACGCACACACCTCCATCATCAATAAAATACGATTATGAAAGATATATTTTAATAATTTTCTTGACAACTTTTTTTTGAATTACAGCGTCATCTGCTGCGTCGATTTTGTTTGATGTTTGTCATCATCGAGCACGGTTTGTTCACAGCTCAGATGCCGGTACACGACAACGTCTGGTTTCTTACGGACCGTACTTGTCTGGTTAGAGATGTCGAAGCGATTCCTGAAGAGATTAAGCTTCACCTGACATCAAAGACCACCATGGCACAACAGTAGGCAAAATTTTGCACTAATCGATGACAAAAAATTTATAGTTCAGCAGTCGATTCTTGATGAAAGTGTAAACACAGCTATATATAATATCAGTAGTAGTAATCCAATAACTGTAAGCTTGAGCAAACTAACACAAGTTAGTGAAAATAGCAAAGAATTCTCTCCGGCTATCGATTGATTATGAGGATTTAACTGGAATGTTAACTTCAACACAGAATAACTGCTGTATGTACAGATGGCGTTCTTAGCTTCTTTACAAATTTTGCTGTAAAGTGGTAAACGAAGGATGGCGTAATCGAATATTCGACTATAGGAATATACAACCTATTCTTTACTACAGACTGAAAATATGTGCCTTCAGACTACTGTATCCCTTGACGTCCTTACTAATCGATGAGATCGCACAACCGTTACGACGGCTTCGACCGACACCAGAAGAAGTCTCAGCACTAAAAGTCCTTATGCTTATGAGTAAGAATCTTAGTTTCTACTTTAACCGATGTAGCAGCTTTGACTTAAAAACCTTCAGCCTAGACTTATGCGAACGAACGCCCTATTGTCCTTTCCGGGGAGGAACGCGTTCACCACCACACCATGCAGGTCCTTCGTTTCGCCTGTCACTCAGCTATTTCTATCGATCTTTTGCCATCAGCAACCACCCGCCCGTCAGCGAGAGACAGGCGAAACGAAGAACCCATATGGTGTGGTGGTGAACGCGTTACTCCCCGGAAAGGGCAATAGCGTGTTCGTTCCTCACCGTAGACACCTGCGGTCCGGAGTTGTGCAAATATCTCATCATCATTGAAAGTTATATTTCGCAATATACCCTAGCGTTAAGAAAGAACAGGCAGTTAGTAGTAAGTTAAAATTGTAAACTTATACTGTTCACGTGTATCTAATTTCCTATATTGTTTAAATCGTTTTGAATTTAAATCAGACAGCAGAAATTGAATTGGCATAGCTTTTTGCTTGATGTGGAAACTTCGTTTAATACACTTAGTACCCTCGCACCACAAAAACAAATCGATAAGTCGATAATCGATCGCCTGTCAGAAGTAGCAACCGTACGTGGATCAAGTCTCCCCTATTTGATGTACAAACTCCGAAACTCAATGAATCAATAAACTAGCTTTCAGAGCCGACGATTATACGCGAATCCGAAAGCGTTCCGTTGGCCAGTTCTGAAGAACTACGACTTCTGTCAAGTGTACGCGATAAGGTCCTAACTGGATTACATGCGTACTATTTTGTTAGCGGTGAAGAGAATCCAGAAGAAAGACTTAGCGATTTGTTGATGCTAAGTGGTGGAGTTGCGGTAAGAGACACTACTTTGAATATCACGATATTCTTCACAAAAACTTGAAACGTAGGCCACTTTGGTGAGGAAATTCATAAAAGTGTCTTACTAAGTTCGTAGCACAGTAATGAAAATGGCGTTTAAAGGTTTAGGAATATTGGGTAATGTATCTCACCCATCAGTATTTTCCTCCTTTGCTGGATTTCAACTCATCTATAGTTTCCACCGGATTTCCTATGATCTTCATAAAATATATGGCAATTAAATAGGGAATGAAGGAACGAATTAAAATCAAGAACTAAAAATCCTTTTATTTACTAATACTGTGAGCAACTGAGGGCACCTGTGGCGCAGTGGTCGGAGGATACACATGGTATCGATTTCCGCGCCCCTGGCACACCAAACCTATCCTTACGGGATCGGCAAATTGCCACCAGACTTGTCTGGGAGGGTATCAGCACTGGCTCGATATATTGATAGGCCACCGAGAGTCATTCTAAAGGCCATATATGCATTCAATAACCTCTAAACGATGCTTCGTGAAGTCGTATCCCTTAGAGATTGATCAACGTCGAGAGCTTTATTCTTTATCCTTTTTACTGTGAATAACTAACTACTGTTGGCGTATTTAAGTGAATAGTAACGTTAATTTGAATAAAAGGGCCTTTTTAAGTTTTTTTGTTGAACTATAGTGCTGAAAACACTGATGACGTACTATGCACTAATACAATAGCTCGCGCTATTGATGGCACGCGCCAAGATAGCAACGAGACATAATCGGCGTATTTTGACGATATTTTAATTTTTGAACAGTTTTCAACATATCCACAATATAAATGTTCTAGTGTTAAACATTTCCAATCATGTTCGCTTCATACTAAATATTTCGTCAAATACTTTTTATTGCTATTAAAATAAGTGAGATATTCAACTGGGGCTAAATTTTTTTAACAACTTCAATACCTAAAAGGATATCTAAAAGAAATTACTGAAATGGATAAAAATAGAACGGAAAGCATAATTGAGTGTATTTGAAAGAAAAAAATAACAAACATTTTCTAGTTACGGCTTGTGAACACTTACATTTGACTATAGGAAACATGTTGATCGATTTGTATTGATCGATCCTTGCTGATCTCGACCTCACTTGAAAAATTACAGTACGTTAACGTCATCAAAGTCGATTTTTGCTTTCTTCCTCTTTAACTTTGTTATTAGTAAGCGTATTAGACGTTTAATATTTTATTGGTCTTAAATGTATTCACTAGACTTCTTCTTCCTCCCAACGGTTTACCGCTTCATTGTGGCTAGAAGGTATTCCTGGATGTCGGACTGCGATGTACAGCGGGGATTCATCCACTGGCAGAGTTTCCTAAGCTGAGAAAGAGTCCGGCGTTTCCATCAGGAAGTCTAGCCAAGAGTAAACCAATACCAAGTTCCACCACCATCCTGGTATCAAAGTCGCATGGTGGCAAATCCACAAGGGCTGCGCCTGCCTGTTTTGGTGAAGACCTGGGGCGGACTTTGTCCAAGCTGACCTCGGGATTCCAGGGAACCACAATGGCTTAACCAGCAAATCTCCGAAAAGTGGAGATTATGCTGAGCCCCGCACAATCAGTGAGGGCGGGCCATTCAAGTGTCAAGTGTCAAGAGTTGCTGTTTGTGCGGTTTCTTTACTGCTCGTCTTCGAAATATGTTTTTTTTAAAATAAATATTGATTATTAGAGGAAACCAATTCACTAACCATAAAGCCCGGTTGTCCATGCTTCTTTCCACTAAAATTCCACCTCACTGGCCATAAGTGAGTTCGTTTTTTTCACAAATTTTGTTGGAAACGTATTATTTGTTAGGAAAAATTGCGATCATTGTGTTCAAATTACGAATCGGTCGACACATTTCGTTACATTATGAACGATTTTCTGTAAATTGAATTCCGACATACAAAGAAACGCACAAATACACACCACAAGTACATTGTACATAGATGCATCCATATATATATACACACACACATACACACACGCACGCACACGCACACGTACACGAACACCAATACGCACACCTAAACGCGCACGGGCGCGCTCGAACTTAGCCATTTATTCCTTAAATGTCACCTACTTTTTGTCATGAGCTTGAAAGTTATGCAATGAAGCGGGGCGGCATGTAACTTCCTCTCGTTGGTATTACTGTTCATGATAATTTCACGGCATGTCGATTTCGTTGCTGAGCTGTTTTCGAGCTTCGAGACGTATTGCTAATTCTTAAATACATAATAACCGCTGGAAAACTTGGAATATGTGCCTGGTATAGATCTAGACTATTAAATAAAAGGAAATTCTCAGTCCAAGTGCCAGCAGCTATGAGATCCTTTTTGTTTGTACTGTTAGTTAATGGAACACTGATCGACTAGTGAAGCAATCGATCAATCAATTTTGACTAATCGATTAATGAAGCAATCGATCGCGCTATTTCGTTCATTTAGATTTTCATATTCCTCGGTTAGCAGGATTCATTCCTTCTCCGGCATGTTATACATTAGAATGCAGCTAATCGAGATAAACTGTAGAATTTTTAAATCAAATAAGAAGATATAGAACGATTTTTGCTTTAGTAATCGGGATGTTCGCCAAGTATGGGACAGTTCTTCGACTCTATTTAAAACGTCTTCGTGAGACGATGCATTAGCATTGAACAAATAGAAGGAACTACCTTTATTCTACAAGCAATACTTTTCTTCTCAACGTTTAGAAAGTTTTTTATTATTTGAATATTGAAGAAAGTTCACCATTGTTCAAATACCTTATTGGTAAAGATGAAAGAAAAAAATTGATGTTTGCTCACGGATCATGTCCGCACGCAACCATCAGTAGTGGTGGTGGCAGTGATGGATGTCAGTGAGATGTTGTTGTTGCTGTTGTTTTTGACGACATCCTAGGGCTTTTTATGTTCAGATCTGTGCCGCTCAAGAATTGGAAGGTCTGCACTTGTTACGATTTTTCGATATGGCTCGATTCGACGACGAATGTACAAAGTTATTATTTGGTGGTTAAAACCAGTGCTGAAATGGAAGATGTTCTCATTCTTACACAAAACTTATCCCAGTTCTCATGTTCGCGTATTCTATTCGACGACGAACTGTATCGTTCCATTATAATATTCGTAACCGGTTAGCAAGAAAATGACGAAGACGAAAATGATGATGATGGTGATGACGGCGGCAAATATGATGACTACGACGGCGACTTCGGAGGCGATGAAGATGATGATAACGATAACGACAACGAAAACGACAACGACAACGACAACAACAACGTAGGTTTCCGTATTTCGTTGTTCTGATTATCCGTTAAGAAGATGTTTGAAAGAGGGATTCGAACGTACCTTAGATGACTATATTTTTTTAATGTAACTTACTAATCAGTGACGAAATAAAGGTTAATTTAAAAGTAGATTATCTTTTGACGATGTTTTTACTTTACCACGTACTCCATGCTCGAGAAATTTTCTTAACTAATTATACTGTACTATTGACACTTTCTACTTTTAACACTGCAGTTAGCGTTACCGATTCGATCGTATGGTAAATGTAAAATGGATGTTGTACATATTTTATTTATTGACGGTTTATTTTACCAGTCCGACACCATCAGTTGCTTATGGAATCGTCGGCAGAAAAAAGTGAATGTAAATAACCTAGTGAATCTGCATGAATTCGTGTTTAGAAATGTTTTAATAAAAATAAAGTTTTATGTGGAACTGTCAAGAAAGACACGATACGACATGCTAGAGGTGTGTTAAGCAATCAACCAAGTATGCAATGAGTAGTGGTAGATTTTTTCAGTAATGACTTCTGATATGCTTCTTTTTCGACAATTTTCGGTTTTTGTTGATATCTGGGAGATCGGGAGGATCGTTTTGGAAATATGAAATACCATTATATGGAATTTAAAGGTCTTCATTAAGTGTCCGGAAGCAGGCGGTGGGATGTTGGTAGCCGTTATGAAGATTTGAAGCAATCTAACATTCATTGAACAAGCTAAAAATCTGCGTCTGTATTAAAAATCACAGTAAACTCACTATTGTCCTTTCCGGGTAGTAACGTGTTCACCATAACACCATGCGGGTACTTCGCTTCGTCTGTCTCTCAGGTAGTTCTATCGACCACTTGCCATCAGCAATCTTCCGTCAACGGGATTGATCTGGGGAGCCCATAGTTATGATCACAATCTTAGCCTTTTTATTTACTCCCTATTCTTTTTAATAGCAGGGTATGCTGTCGCCTCTCACCTGTGTCACCTGCAGTCCCGTTGATCGTCGAGTGACTGGAGCGGGTGCCAGCAATTCTTCCATTTTTCCCTGTCGCATGCAAGAGTAGCCCACTGGGTTCTGGCTCTAGGGACTCGTCGAGTATCATAACTTTCTTCAAGGCTCTTTGTGAAGAACTCTGACCATCGGGTCGGTGGTCTTCCTGCAGTACGTTTGACATTCCGAGGGATCCAGTCACTAACGGCTCTTGTCCTTCGGTTGTCATTCATACGCATTACGTGTCTGGCCCACCTTATCTTCGACTGTTTGCCGTACAGAACGGCATCTTTGATTTTTGACCGTTGACACAGATCGGAGCTTCGGAGCCCGTCCCTTACTTGTGTGGTACGCGACACTCCTAGCATTGTCCTTTCGACTGCGCGTTCGATAACGCTGAGTGACCTTTAATCCTGCTTACGCAGCGACTAGGTTTTTAACGCATACGTTAGGGCAGGAGTTACCGTTGAGTCTAAAAGGTGGGTACGGAATCGGGTGTTCTTTGTTCTCTTCACTACATCTTCAGTGATCTTGAAAGCTCCGTTCGTTTTCTTCTGCTCAGCTCTGGAGCTAGGTCGTTCATCATATTGATTTCCCGACTTAGATAGATGTAACTGGAGCATTCGGAGATATTCGTTCCGTTGAGCGTGAATGGGGCATGCGAAACCAATCCGTTCTTCACGAACATCGTTTTTGTGAGATTTAGTCGAAGACCAATGTTTCCACAGGCTTTATCAAAGTCGGCAAGCATACCTTCCGCTTGCCTAATGTTTGGTGTTATAAGGATGATGTCATTAGCAAAGCGAAGATGATATAACTGCCGACCATCGATTTTCACTCCCATATTACATTTCAATGTTAGCATGGCGTTCTGGACGGTAGCGGTAAATAATTTTGGCGAGATGGTATCGCCTTGCCTAACTCCTGTTTTGACGCCAATGTTAATTTCATTGTATAATGGTGATAGTTTGGTTGTGAAATTTTTGTACAGTTCATGAGGAATCTTTATGTACTGAGCATGGACTCGTTGATTATCAAGGGCTTCCAAGACTGCTTCCATCTCAACTGAACCAAAGTCCTTCTGTAAATCGATGAAAGTGAGACAGAAGCGTCTTTTGTACTCTCGCAACACTTCAATGAGCCGTATTACCGTGTGGATGTGGTCCATCGTAGTAAATACTTTTCGAAACCCTGCTTGCCCACATAGCTGTCCTTCGTCTAGTGTTCTGTCAATCCTCTTTAGGATGACTCTAGTGAAAAGTTTACAGACGACAGACAGCAAGCAGATTGGGCTATAGTTGCCGATATCGTGTTGATAACCGTTCTTGAACAATAACGCGGTCTTGCTCTTCTTGCACTGAGTAGGACCTTGCATTCAGACAGGTAACATGTGAGGAACTGAGCCAGTGTGTTTACGAGGACTGGCGGAAGGTTTTTCAGGCGTTTTGATTTTATCATATCCTGACCTGCTGCTGTTTGATTTTTCACCGACGAAATGGCATGTCGGATTTAGGAAAGGAGAACCGGTGGCACAACATATCCATCCTCCTTTATTTCATATGACGGAAGTTGGATGTGGCAACCGAAGATATCTGAGTACTATCCGTGAATGATTTTCTCCATTGCCTTTCTGGACGCTGTAACTGCTTCGTCTGGGCGTTAGAGTACAATCATCTTGGTCTTGTCATTGGCGAAGCTTCAGTGGGCTCTGCGAATGCATTTCCCAGCTTCTACTGCTTCGACCATTACTGCTGCTCTTCTCTTTTTAAGATCTTTTACCGCCTATCTGCATTGTTTTGCAAGTTCGGATGTTAGTTCGCGGTTGCCTGCAGTTCGTTTGATTCCTCGCTTGCGTATCAACTCGAGTGTTTCTGGAGACAAACGTTTCTTGCTGGCATTCGAACTCTCAGCTTTCATAGCACTAGCTCGAAGATGTTAAACGAGCCCGTCGTATACTTCGTCGATGTTACTGACCACAGCATCTTCCCAATAGCGGACTAATGAATTGAATATGTCTCAGTTCGCTGTGGTTCCAGGACTTCGGTTTTGGAATTTATCGGCTTTTTCTCCTTTCAGCGAGAAATGGAATCTTGCACGAAGGATACGATGATCAGATCCCGTGCAGATTTTGGAACATCAGCGACATCGGTTGGGCAAAACCTTCTATTTATTATGTGTGGTCTATTTTATTATGGTACACTCCATTGGGAGACTACCACGTCCAGCGCTAAGGATGGGGCTTCTGGAATTGGCGGTTACCATGGATGGTCCTGGTCGCCGTGATACACTCAGATAGCCACTCATCCTGTTTGTTCCATTCTTATCCGTGGGTCCCAAGTGACGTTTTTCTGACGTTCTTCTTGGTCCAATCTTGGAGTTGAATTCTCCACTGATGGCCTTGAAAATGTGTGGACTTCTCTGTAGAATTTCTCCAATAGAACGCTTTGACTTCGTCATAGTTTGATGTCGGCGCGTAAACGACAAAGATTGTCAAAGCCGAAATTGATCTACGTCTTTTTATTCGTAAACGTCCGATTCGGGTTGTAAGTTGTTCGAATGAATCGATGTTCATAGACAAACTCATGTTGACGAGAACGCCGACGCCGCCGACTCCTCTATTGTCGCATGTTCCGAGGAAGAGTTCTCCGGTGTCACAGACGGCGTTGAAAGGCTGGCGTCTTCTCGTCTCGGCCAGGCCGATGACGTCGTATATTATCCTTCTTGCTTGCATGGGAAAGTCTTCAATCGAGGATCGGATGCAAGTGTACGTGCATTGTAGGTACAAATCGTCACCATAGTTTTTTGAAATCCAGGCAGCTTCTATTGGCTCTGAGATTTTAGCAGCCTCTTCGTACTCGACCTACACAACGCTGCGATGTTGGGGGCTTTTTTGGTATACTCACGGGTAGCTTGCTAGGCTCTCCCAGAGTGGACATGGAGCTTATTTGTTAGAGGCGACTCCTAACCTCCTCCCATATACTTCCGTGTTACTTGATTGCAGGCTTTTGGCTCAATAGACCCGCAGAATACAAGCCGCATAAGCGAGAATGCACCCGCACACGCATACATGAATACAGCAGAAACAGGGTGTCCATCCCCTTGAACCACCTGCACTTCAGGAAGCAAAGGTCGCTTTTAGTCCGCGATTAATCCCCTATTTCCCACCTGGGGACGCGCGGCGTAGCCTCGCGACTAACCGGCTCGAGATCCCTCATATGAGGGAGATCCGTGGCAGACAGTATTGTAGTGAATAAATCTTGTTGTTAATAACCCGTGTCTGCTTATCAAGGAAACATTTCGAGATCCTTTATATAAGTGGGCTTCTATAATGCTGAAATATTTGCAAAGCTGCGGACCGCAGGTGTCTGCGGTGGTGAACGTGCTATTGTACTTTCCGGGAAGTAACACGTTCACCACCACACCATGTGGGTCTTTCGTTTCGCCTATCTCCCAGCTTGTTCTATGGGTCACTTGCCATCAGCAATCACCCGTCAACGAGATTGATCTGGGGAGCCGAAATCGGCCTATATAGCCCCAGCTTAAGTAGGTTCAATGCTGGTGTGATGGTGAATGCCTTACTCACCGGAAAGGACAATAGCGCATTCGTTCCCCACCGCAGACATCTGGTCCGGAGTTTTGCAAATATCTCAGCCTTATAGAAGTTATATTTCGCAACATACTCTGCATTATAAAGAATAGGCAGTAAATGAAACGGCTAAGACGGTAAACTCAGTCAGTAAGCTTAAGACATACTCCATTTGGCGCACATGGGGCACATAACGGAGAGCATTTGGAAGTAGAAGTCACTGTCGTCGTACCAGGAATACAAAACAGCAGAGCATAAAAGTCTTGAAGCGTTTTGAATGTGCTCTAAAAATCAAAAATGACTCACAAAGACGAGTGCCTTGTGATCTCACGACGTACTTCTGGGCGATTTTTTGACCTGATCCAGGCACATTCTTCGCCTGTGTAGGACTCTGTGCGTCCGGTCTCCACCAAATAACTGGAGTTGCAGATAGCAAAATGGTTAGTCAAAAGTCACTGAGTCCCACTCGTAACATCACGGCTCTGAGGAAGGCTAAATCGCCGAAATATCAGCAATCGACCAATAACGCCAACAACAACGACAACTACAACGAAGGCCTATACCAACCTCGCATCAGCTAAAGAAGATCTGTTTATAAGATCATATAAATAAAAAAAGAAACGGTTAGTGTTCCAAAGAGGCTTTTTAATAGGTGAATAAAAGTTTATTTATTAAAATTCATCTGCTAGGATCTTGAAAGTGTTTGGCTGAGTAGAATGCGTGTCAATTTTACTTTTCCAAGCTCCGAAGAACGCGAAACCGCCAAAACGTCGGCTGCTGTGTACTAACAAATGCTGCAATAACAATGATGTGTTTGCTCATCAGAAAAACAATGGGTCATAAGTCAATAGGCAGAACTGATGGTTAGTGCATCGTGCCTTTAAGCCATAGTCATTCAAGAAGTTGTGTCGCTCACGGGTTCTTCGACTACTGGCCCTCATTTTTTCCTACTTTACCTTTGAAAGCACTTTTTTGGAGAGCTGAAGATAAGCCAAATGTGTACTCCTTCATAAAAGATCTGATTAAAGCATCTTGAAGAAGAAAAATGATATTTTCATTTATAAGAGTAAGAAATTCGATGTTATTTCAACTTCACGGAAGAGCTCAATGTCGATCAACTTGCTTGAAAAAATTAACGTTGGTCGATTAATTAATTAACGTTTACTGAAGACATCGGACGGCGTGTTGTCGTTTAGAATGAGAAGGCTACCAATGGGTTTGACGACGTGGCTCTTTAAGCATTTTTCTGATATGCTATTAATCCTAATAAAACATCTGTACACGGCGTGATCGTTTCCGGTGTTAGTAGAAATACTATGCCACGCATCTCAAATACTGCAGTCATGAACTGTAAGAAAAGTTGTACATTCCTGTTCTCTGAGCTCTAGATGTTATGACATTAGCACTAATATCTTTGGAAGTCCTTACATTAGACGTTTCGGAAAAGATCATCTTTTAAACTTAACTCCATCGTCATAGTGCTTGTGAAGTGCCCCCATTCCTTTAACCCTAAGATAACTCTGTTAGAAGCAACATGTACTTTTTCATTGATAAGCTTTTTTATAAACAACCTAATTAGGCTCATGTTTTCGGCGTCTTCACCTTCATCGGAGCCGATGGTCCGAGCGAATAAAACTGTTTATTAACCTCATGTTAGCTTATCAGCGCAAGAATACATGCTAAGTTGTCACACTGAAGTTAAAAGGAAAGCCTGTTTTTGAAATTTTGCTAGGCTTTGTCAGAGCACTTTCTCTCACACGTGCTTGCAAAATCTGTGACCTAGATGAGTTCTTTATGACTGCTTCCATGTAGATGACAGGTTAGTCCTTCCCACGATAGATTATTCTTAAGAGGTTATTTGTAAAGTTCCTTTCAGATCAAAAGTTTCCTGCTCCATGCGAGGTGTCGAAATGCTGCAACAACAGAAAACATTCCCAAATTACTATTCCAAACACACAAACAATTCTGTTCAGTTCTTCAGGAACTTTGGAAAAGAAAGCAACGAATGTGAAATGAAGGACTTCCAATCACATCTACGTGCATATGCTGAAATTGTGGCTAATTAGAGTTTATTCGAGAAAATTCTTATTTTAATATAATTTGTGTGAGCTTCCTCGGCTATGCATTTGTGGTCGGTGCTGGTTCGAATTTCACACGAACATTTTTCTCCGCTTCTCCTTCAACCAGAGCTGCCGATGCTACGCTGGTGCTGAAAAATATGTGCTATAATTTATATAAATATATCAATAAAGTGTAATGTTTCATATCTTAGGCGATTTCGACAAGGATTATTAGCTTTCATTGATTTATTGGAAAAAATCGGATCAATGAAAGGATGAATGATTTCAAGTCAGTCAGTGGCAATATTGCAAGTCAGTTGCCATATTTGACATCTTCACCTCAACTTATATAATCGACTTTAGATGTTTAATTTTTATCTTAAAGAAACCAGTAGGTCACTTTGTAAGTAGGACGATACTAACTCGACTTTACTCTATGGATGAAAAGAAGCGAATCCGTGATTCCGCCCTTATTTCGATTGCCGATGCCCTAAAGAGGGCGAAATAAGCTAAGATGCCTGAAAACAAAAGGGGCCTGCACATGATTTCCATGATTTCCATGAGCGAAATGCATCCATAGCGCAATAAGAAGGTCACCGACTTTGTGTTGAAACTATAAGGGGGATGAAGTCCAGGGCGGACAATAGTATGTTGTTAACATTGGATTTTTTAATGGCTTCTACGAGGCAAAAAGCAAACTCTGATTTCATTGCTTTTTCGGCAAAGTATTTTAGAAGAGTAATCTACTTGATATTCTTGAAACACGACGAGTTTGTAATATAAAAAATTAACTAACAACCAAAACGATGCTCAAATATTTGTAAAAATTCTGGACTGCAGTTGTCCACGGCGGGGAACGAACGCACCATTACTCTTTCTGAGGGATAACGCGTTCAGCACCACATCATATGGGTCCTTCGTTTCGGCTGTCTCTCAGCTAGCTCTATCTGTCAAAGGTTTAATGCCGATTTAGGACCCCAGATCAATCCCGATGACTGGTGATTGTTGATGGCACTGATCGATAGAAGTGGCTGAGAGACAGAAAGGGTGATAACGCGTTCGTTCCCCACCGCAGACATCAGCGGTTCGGGTTTTGTAAATACATCAGCATCGTTGTGGTTGTATTTCGCAGAGTACCCTGCCGTAGAAATTTTAGTAGCCAGGAAATAAAAAGTAAACATTGTGAATTAACTAAGCTTTTGATTTGAGCTGGTAAACTTATTTTCACGCGCTATCTATTTTGAACAAAAGTACAAATGTACTTATATACGTTATTTGGTAAACTTCAACCAGCGTCTCAGAAATCTGTATACTGATGGAATCGATTGTGTTCTACTTCTTGTATACGTTCTTCAACGCACCTGACTTGTTTGATTTGTGCATTTCCAACGCGAATCGGAATTGAGACCACGTTCTTAAGCACCCGACCGTGGGAATCGACAAAGTTCGTCTGCAGCATTGAATTCACACCGTAATTTGCCGACGATGGCAACTAAAGCATGAAGTTTCTGATAGTTCGTAACAAAAGGGACACACCTCATCGGTGCTTCCTACAAACCCTGTCGTTGAATTCCATTTTTGAAACAGTAGTACGGACGTGGACTTTTATGGTACTTGATGTTATTGTGATTATATTGAGAATCTAACTAACCATAATCAGGAAGACATTATGCTACCAGTTGCTGCAAACACAGTAGGGAAGACTAATTTAAACAGTTACCTCTCTAGGATTAGGCCTGGTCGGCGGCTTTGCGGTGATGGGTGCCTCTGTTACGGCGCCAAAAAAAGAGCGTGTGCCTAACTGAAAAAATGATATGGAATGGTGAAAAAGTTAACCACAACGCTAAAGAAAACGATTTAAAGTGGAGTAGTTGGTGAAAGTCAAGTTATTTGGAAACGTTGTAAACATTGATATTTTGAAGTACGACCAACTTTCTATTAACCTCGGCATTGATCAAGTAATTCTTCGTATTTTTGTTGAGCAAACGCGAGGTGTTATTATTCTGTTATAGATTTCAATCACATTGAACACAGCTTTCTTAGAAAGAGGTGAGTGTGCAAAGCAAAGCTTTCTTAGAAAGCGGTTATGGAGGTCTCTGGCCGAATGCACTGCTATCAACTTGACCTTTCCAGACTCCGAGGAAGGCGAAATCCGCCGAAACGTCAGCTTATTCGTTAATAAAGAATAATAACATCTCGCGTTTGCTCAACAAAAATACGAAGAATTAATTGACATTTTGAGTTTATGCGAAAAATGAGGTGAAGGAAATGCTGAAGGGAAATATCGCAAACCTTTTTGGATTTTCGATTTTTCGTTAAAATGAGTGTTTGTGTTCCTGGGGACAATAGGCTCTTCTTTCCGGTATCGTTCTAAAATTTCGTAAGTTTTCGCCAGGTATGTAATTTGCCAGTAAATGTAAATATAAGCTCGTAGAAAGGAAGGGAAGTGTTTATGACAATAAAGAAAGGTTAACTACGGAATTCAGTGCTGCCATCATCCGCGAGCGCAGTCGAAGGTTCTTTGGTGGTAGTTCTTTGGAAACTTCTGTTTGCGCGATTGGCTGAATTAATGAGCTTTCATATTCAACGATATTTAACTATAAATGTAAAAAATAAATAGTACCAAAAGTGCTAAGATAGGTAAGCAGGGTTGCATACGCCCATTGGCATTGAATATGTGGGTAGGAAGATGATGGTTTTGGACGTGATACCAAGTTTATAAAATGTAATGGGACCAATAAGAAACAAAAAAAAGCCCAGTTTTTTTTTAAAATTTCGTTAGGATAAATGCTGACATATTCCCAAAATTGATGGGAAAATGCCTTTGTAAAATAACAGTGTCTTTAGATGCTCTTAGTTTAAGCATTAAAGTAAACTTTGTATTGTTATCACTACATGGATATTACGAGCAGTGGGCGGACTCCTACATATTTGCTATTTAAGTCTTCGTCGCCTAGTCGTCGTCCATGGTGATAAACTGCTTCGAAAATGCTGATATTGGCAAGAGCTATTCCGTAGACCTAAAATCATTGTCATCTGCCAGTGCAGATGATTAACGTTGACCACGAACAGTTCCGCCCAACATCTATGTAGTTATTCGAGAGAGCGCTTGAATCCTCTTAGAGTCTACCCTACAGTTCTCTTCGCCCATCTGCCGTCCGTTGTTCTTATTATATAACCAGGCTATCTGCCCTTGTTATCGATGTATATCCTTCTAGATCTCGAAGAAGGGATAGGTTCTAAAGATCTGACCTTCGCTTTGACGCCAAACATTTTTCGGGAGGATTATTTTTTAAAATATTTCAGCGTTGTGAATGGTGCTCAGGATTGCCCACATGGCAGAGGTGTGAACTGAGGCCTCTACTTTTTAACAGAGCATTGGGAAGACCGTCGAACCCATTGTCAAGGGTTGCTTTCATTGCTTCATGAAGCTCAAAAATTAAGGCCAGTATTGAAAGCGGTGCTAAGATATGACGTTATTGGAAAATAACATTTTTAAACCAACCAGTGGAGCATTTTTCTGCTTCTCTCCAACGGCTTTAGCCGGCTTCAAATTCAAGCCAGCCGGAGGGGGCATGGTTAACCCACATCCGGTTAGCACTAAGAGAACGACGAAAATCGGACGGCACATCTGGTTTCTTATCTTAAGGTCAAAAATAGTAATGGTCGATAGTAAAATGCACCTGGTAAAAGCAGTAATTAGGTACGGCAACAGGTACGATACGAGTGCTTGTCTGAATTTACATGAAGACATGAAGGAAGAATGACAGTACAGAGACTTG